TGTTGCAGTAACTTGGGCGGCTAACTTAACTCGAAAGTGATTAACCTCACGGCGCTAGGTCGGAGCCCGTACTTCAGATGAGAAGAGTGTTGGCCTTTCGGTTGCTGTCATAGGTGTTAAGAGCCGCCCTAACAGAAACGCGCGCAGGCAGCGAGTCGCACTCGCGCCAGGCTATCGACCCGCCTACAAGCGGCGCACGTAAACTGGCAATCAATAAAACAATTTAGAGTTTAAAGTTGCGGGCAGGCTAGGGCTCTGAAAAGCCAACCGAATGAGTCACAAGTCAATCGAGTCGCTACTTGCTCGAGGACAGTATCTGATTGGTCTGGTGGATATGGCTGTAGAAGAGTTTGTTTACCTTAAATGCGTTGTACTAAGAACGCTAAAAGATTTTCACTTTTCCGCTCTTCTTTTTGTTTTCCTAGTCGAGAACACACACAAGGCAACATTTAAAACAACGGGTTCGAGTCCCACCGAGTTTTGGCCAATTGTGTAAGATGAATTAAAGAAGCCTTCTAGAAAACGACTAACCGTCTAATTAACTGTTGATCCAGTCGACATGGACATTCGTGTTAACAAGAAGGGGGCGGCGGGGTGGGGTAGCGCGTAGACTTACCTAGGATGGGCACTCGACTAAGGAAGTCCTGGTACATCTTCCGGCGTCTGATTGTACTACCCATGAGGATGCGCCGGTAGGAGTCACGGTCGATGCCCCAGAGTTTCACTTCTGTGTGCGCCTTCACTGTGGCGGCGCGCGGAGTTCCGTAGATGAGGGCCAGCTCACCGAAACTGCCACCCTCACCAATACAGCTCACGTACTCCCCGTTGACGTAGATCTGCGCACAAGGAAATTGTAGGCATAATCGAGGAAAAAGGCGAGGCTGTGGGGTATGTGAACATATGGGAAGTGCCGAAAGAATTTAAACAAGTTTCTGTGTGTGTGTGTGTGTGTATGTATACCTCCACTGAAAGGTAAGATGCGTTCTCTTTTTTTTTCTGCTTTAGTACAATCTACATTAAAAAGCTCACCCCTTGCTTTTTTCCTTCTTAGCCCTACTAACTGACACATTTACCGGACACACCATCAGCCCAGCGCGTGTGAAGCGGCTGATGAAGGGACTGGGAGTCAGGCGGTGTTGGCTGGTACCCACGCCACATTAATAATCGATATTATGACCGTTCCATGCTCTGCGCGCAACACGTACTCATAGCGTGAGATAAGAGATAACCAAGACATGCGGGGTGGAACGACGTTGTAAGAACAGCCGTACCCAGAACATCAGTTTATTGCTGATTTGAATCAGCATAGCATAGCAACACAAAGCAGGCAAATGGTTTTGTTATAAATGGGAGGGAGTGAACCGGCTATGCCCGACTGACGTCAGTGCGAATGGACGCCCCGAAAGATTCAAAAGCGTGATAACTTTACTTTGCTAGGGATCGACGCAATTCCTGCAACAAATTACAAAGAGAAAGAGCCAAACGGACTGTTGATGGAGTGAGGGGGAGGGTAGCCAATCTTTCTTACATCATCCCCGGAAGAGGAAGAAGAGGAGACGACTTCTGGGACCAAAGT